AAAATGGTACAGTCACTTTGGAAGACAGTTTGGTAGTTTCTTACAAAGCTAAACATAGTTTTATCACTGATCCAGTAATTGTGCTCCTAGGTATTTACCCAGTTGAGTTGAACATTACGTATACACAAAACCTGCACATGAATGTTAGCAGTTTTATTCACAATTGCCCAAAAGAGGATGTACTTCAATAGATGAATAAAACATCCACCCAGTTGAGTTGAACATTACGTATACACAAAACCTGCACATGAATGTTAGCAGTTTTATTCATAATTGCCCAAAAGAGGATGTACTTCAATAGATGAATAAAACATCCACACAATGAAATATTATTTAGCGGTAAAAAGAAGCAAGCCATCAAGCTACAAAAAGACATAGAGAAAACTTAAATACATATTGCTAAGAAAGAAGCCTCTGAAAAAACTACATATTATATGATTCAAGCTGTGACATTCTGCAAAAAGCAAAATTATAGAGACAATGGGTACCAGGAGTTTGGGGGGAAGGAGGGGAGGACAAACAGGTGGAACACGGGATTCTTAGGGCACTGAAACTATTCTATAAGATACTGTAATGGTAGACACAGGATATTATGTATTTGTCAAAGGTCTATAAACTGTACAGCACAAAGAATGAACTTTAATGTAAACTATGTACTTTAGTTAACAGTTTATCAATATCGGTTTATTAATTTTACCACATATCACACTAATGCAAAGGTTTGTTTTTTGGGTTTTTTTGGCAGCTGGCGTGTATGGGAATCCAAACTCTTGACCTTGGTGTTATAACACCTCGCTCTAACCAATTGAGCTACCCAGCCAGCCCCAAAGTATTAACAATAGGGGGACGCGTGCGGGCGCGCGCGCGTGTGTGTGTGTAGGGGGGTAACACGGGAACTTCACACTTTCTGATCAATTTCTCTGTAAATTTAAAACTTTTCTAAAAAAAAATAAAATCAATAAAAAAAAAGTTAATGAAGATCTGAGACTGTAAGAAAGAAAGAAACCCAAAGTTCAAGAAAAAAGGGAACTGGAAATAAGAAGGGAGAGAACTTGAGATGATTAAGCCTGTGTGTGTGTGTGTGTGTGTGTGTGTGTACATAACAGGTACCCACGTATAGCACTAGCATCAAAAGGTTCCACTTTATTGCTAATATGGATAAGGCTGAAGCCAAGATGCTTGAAAAGATGCTCACAGAAGTGTAGACAAGAAAAAAAGTTCTGCTCATCACTATAGGGTGTTACAAGGAAGCTTGTCTCTCTTCGACTGGGCTCTGGGAGAAAATATGTCCCCCCTGACAAATAAAAAACCAGGACCATGGGGAGTCTTTCTTAGGTATGAAGTCTAAATCTGTACTACCATTCAGTCTAGAAACACTCAAGCTGAGAAATTATCATAAAAGTTGGTGCTGAGTGATCAGATTCCTGAAGCTCTAAGCAGAAGGTATGAAAATACTCTGGATCTTTGTAGGCAATGCAGAATTCTCATGTAAAAACAAATGTAAAGCTATCTAATGTTATAAATGACACAAGGAAACAAACCACTATGAGAAAGAGTCAACAACAATAAAGGAGAATTAGAATTTCAAACAATAGAGCAATTACAAAACTAAATAAAAATAATATGCTTAAAATCTTACAGTCTGCTGCTAAGGTTTCCATTACAAGATACAATAAAAATTTACTTATGCTTTCTGTCTGCCTGATTATGGCAGCCAAGATTGAACAAAGGAATACTGTGGGAAAAGATGGAGAGAGAATTTCTGCAACTTGGGAAAACAATGAAGAGCCTGTTTTACTTCAAAGAAGAACCCAAAATTTGAATTTACGTAAGAAATGTTGGGAAATATTCCCTATTGGCTTTACCTGGTTGATTATACCTTTAAAAGCTTAAAGGTTAAACTAATTAAAAGCAAGCCAGTGACTTCATTTGGTGCATTCTGACATGTGAATGCAGTGATTTAGCAATTTGGAATTTGCCCTAGTGACTTCAAAGTGCATAGCATGGTCTAAAACCTGAGTCAGATACTAATCGGGTTAACAGTGCCCCCTGGTGACTGGTGAAAGCAAACCCAAACACTGGAAAGTACAGTCAAGCTGACAGCAACTTTAAGCATTCTGATTTCTGACATTAATATGTAGGAAAAAGTGCCAGTCTGATCTAGGAGGACACTTGTTCTCTCTGAAACATACTAACAGAAAGGAATTTTCAGGCAGTGGTTAATATTGTGAAAACCAGAATAACCTGACAGTGAGAGAGGGGCTTAGGATAATAACTAAGCTGAAATCAACTGTGAGCTAGCCTTGGAAAAGTCTAAAAGAGCAGATAGGAATAGCAATAAAAAGGCCTTGTGGGGAAGGTGAACCTTGCTCTCCTGTCCCAACTTATTTTGAAAATTTTCAAATCTACAGAAAAGTCCCTGCTTAAAAATAAATAAAATAAAATAAAAATTTAAAGACATAAAAGAGGTTGAAATTCTAAAATAAAAAGCAAGCTACAATGAAAAAAGGATAAACTTTAAAAAGAAACAAAGAGAACTTCTAAAGTTCAAATATAATGAACAGAACACAAACCCAATGGCTGGAAAATTAAATGCAGCCAAGAAAAGAATTGCTTTTCATAACCTACTCAAAGATTGAGTGGTTTTTGTGTTGCACCACTATTTTACACACCAACAAGAAGTTTAAAATGCTGCCTATGAAACTATGATGTTAAAAGAAGAAAAATTCTGCCAGTTAAATTATAACATACTATCCTAATTTCAGGGATGTTACAGTGTAAAAAAACAAACAACAAAATAGTATGTCTTACAACTGAGGAAATATGGTAGAGAACTAGATGACAACTGTGGAAATGACTAAAAATTAAGTAGAGAAATGAAGAATTTTTTTCCAAATGGGAGCATCACAACATTCAAAGATATACAGTGGCTGAGATATTTCCCAGAATTAACAAAAGCCATGCACCCTCAGATTAAAAACCACGATGAGGCTTATTAGCAGAATAAGTACAAAAAATGCAGACCTAGAAAAAACATAGTCAAAAAGCAGAATAACATAAAAATCTAATAGTAACTTGAGAGAAAAGATACATTACTTAGAAAGAAATATTAGCCAATAAGCAGAATTCTCAAAACCAACAAGAAAGAATGGAAGACAATGGGATTGTAACTTCAAAATGCTGAGGGACAGAAAGTCTGTATCATTTAAGAGAAAAGATAGAAATAACAAATTTTCACACAAAGAATTCATTCTTTACAACCTTTGCTGAAAATACTTCAAAGAGACTTTGGTAAGAAGAAAATTAAATCCAGAAAAGGTAGGATCCCAGAAGCGATGGTGAGCAAAAAAGTCGCAAACATGTGGCTATCTAAACAAGCCATGCCAGTATAAAGTAACAACTAATATCAAAAGTGTAAAACAAGAAAAGTAAAATTTTGGACAACACCAACATGTAACAGATGAGAAGAATTACTAATATGTAAGAGTTCTAAGGTCTCTACTGTTTGGGAGGGAAGCAGAGACAATGATTACATTTGACTTTTAAGATAAGCAAGTATGCTAAATGTTTCACTAAAAGAAAAAGAATGTATAACTTCTAAATCTATAGCAGCAAAGAGAATAGATAAAGCCAAAAAAAAAAAGTCTACTAGATTTGTAAATAAAATGCAAAAAATATCATAGTAGAAATAAATCTGAATATATCAGCTATCATAATAAAGGCAAACTAACTACCCTTTCCAGGTAATTAGAGTCTTTAATTTTTTAAAAAAATCTAGCTAAATGCTCTTTTGTTCAAGATACACACCAAAATCCCAAAATAATTAAAGGAATAAATTGATGGGAAAAGACACATTAAGGCAAACAAGCAACCAAAACAGAACTAAACTATATATCTATATCTACCTTTCCCTATATTTTTAAATAGCCTATCATACTACATATAATTATAATAATATATAATTCCAAACTATAATAATTAAAGCTAAATATATAAAGTGATAGTAATAAAGCTATATATATTTATATATAAAAATATAACTTATTGTACCAGGAACAGAACAAAAATATTGATCTATAAAGAGCCCACTAATATAAAAGTCATGACATACAGGGAAAAGTAGTCTATTTTAGAAGTTGGCTATCCTTTTGGGAAAGAATAAATTAGATTCCTACCTCATGCTATATATAAAAATAATTTTAAAAGGAGAATATCTATGGGGATAATGAAGGAATTTGTAAACAAGATACAAAAAGCATAAATAATGGAGGAAAAACACTGATGAAAGTGACTATAATCTAATTGTAATAACTGTAAAAGAAACTATCATAAACAAAATGAAAAGATAAGCAATCTAGAAAATATTTGTAATGATGATAAACATCAACAAAGAATTACCAAGAAAAAGGCAAGTAACTCCAACAAAAAACTGGTAATTTACAGGCAAGGAAACCCAAATGACTAATAAACATGTTAAAAGATGCTCAAATTTACCGGTAAGCAGGAAAACATACACTAAAACAACGATGAGATAATCCACGCTCTTTAAATTAGCGAAAATTTCTGAAAAAATAAATGTTAGAGGGTATGTAGGAAAATAGAAACTATACTCTGGTGGGAATGAATATAGGTATAACTATGTTGAATAACTGGTAACGTTAGTAAGGTTGAAAACAGACACATCACAAAACCTAATAGCTCAACTTCTAAGTATCTATCCTGGGCAAACCTATACGCATGAGAAAACATGTGTTTGGATGTCCACTACGTAATGTTTGTAATAAAGAAGAGATACAAAAACCTATCCATTAAATAGGGAAATGAATAGACTGTGGTTCATTCTACAACATGGGAAATATACATAGCATATTAGGATGCTGATTATGTCTTTTGCTTTATTAATACGGCCTAATAAATGTTAAAAAAACTAAACTGATTATTTAAATACCACCTTTAAAAATGGCTTTTTAAAATACTCACACAGAAAAAACATAGCATACCTATTTCATCTATAAAGATGATGGAAGGCTGTAGCTTTATAGCAAGGGAGAAAACGGCAGCAGCCAATTTCTGAGATTCTCCATACCACTTATCAGTCAATGTTGAAGGCTGAAGGTTGATAAATCGACAGCCTGCTTCTTTGGCTGTAGCCTTGGCAATCAAAGTTTTACCACAGCCTGGAGGCCCATAGAGAAGAACACCTGGAAATTGATATATTTCATTGTTACCTTTAAGAAATAAGATATTTGCTTTATTTTAGGCAGTAATCAATATAACATTAATTCTGCCCACACTAAAATCTTCCTAGCATGGTTCTGCTATTATTCTTTTTTGCAGTTGAAAAGGCAGCAGAGAAAAAGACACCATGTTCTAAGTTCAGTGTCAGTGATGACACATACTTGTACATGGGTACTTCAAAAGGTTCACGGAAAGATTAGTATTATCTTTCAATTTTATTTTTCCATGAACTTTTTGAAGTACTCTTATATTGGGGGATTACAGCATCCTTGTGCCTCCTCTCTTCATGAAAAGGTCTAGAGTTCAGGATACTAAAGACTATCACGCGGACATCCAAACTCACACCACTCTATCAATGGCTGACAAATAAAATCTTACATCTTCCACCTTCACAAGCTGACACAGCACGATAGCACTTTGACAACAGTCCAGAGAAAGTAGACAATTTCAAAACAGATTGCGGCAAACATTAGAGTTCAGGATACTAAAGACTATCACGCGGACATCCAAACTCACACCACTCTATCAATGGTTGACAAATAAAATCTTACATCTTCCACCTTCACAAGCTGACACAGCACGATAGCACTTTGACAACAGCCCAGAGAAAGTAGACAATTTCAAAACAGATTGCGGCAAACACTGTTTTGCTGTTGTTCAGACTTAAGTTTTAGCCAAAGCACATGTGCCTTTTCCAAACAGATAATAATCTTTTCTTAAAAGGATCAGATATTATCAGTCATCCCTGTTTTAATTTCCAAAGAATAAAATGTATTAATAAAACCTATAGTCTCCATTGACAGCAGTTTGATGCTAAATACAATTTAAGGTTAATACTTTTAACCTACCTGAGTAAAGGATCTAAACAGGCTGGTGTCTTGAACACTTTGGGAATTATCGCCAACTGTTTCTGAACTAAAGTAGCATTTTCTAAATTAATATAATACTAAAATTATTGCCCTGTTTATAAATAAGTCATCTACAGACAGGCCTAACAAAAATTATAAACTGCACACCTCTCAAAATACTTGCTAGATTCAAAGTCCAACTTTTCTCACTTACAGAATGACAATATCTATAGAGATGGGCATGCTAGGGTAAACTGGAGGGGATTTGGAGGTACTCAAAATTTTCTTCTTATATAATAAAAATAAAATTCAAAATACAAGAAGAAAAATATTTTGTATAAAATTTCCTACCAAAAAGGAGGAATTGGTAAACAGACACAAAAAATCAATTACATTGTACGTTGATAAATTAAAACAAAACAAAACAAAATAAAATAAAATAAATGCCTTGGAGGAATAAAAGCCAGGAGCTTTTATTTATCTGGGTAATGAAAAAGCATACTCACATCCCCACTGCCATTAATAAAATATTTAAACTGCTCAAAAAAATAAATGAAAATAAAAAATAAAATTTCCCCTCAAATCTAATTTTTTTAAATGAAAAACTTGCACTTGATTCCATAAACCTAACAAAATTTTTTCACACCAAGCACTTCAAAATAACTTTCAAACACTTTCTCAAGCATTTTAAGATTCAAGTTATAAAACTGATTAACCCAAGCTTAATTCTTTTAAACTTTTTAAAAGCTGACTTTCAAATTTAAATCTCTAAGCTTTGCCAAAACATGTTAATATTTTCAAGCAGTGTTTGCAATTTTTAATTAAGTCCATTTAGGTGCTTAAAATTTAGTTAAGTCAGTTATAAGTTGAATTTTCTACTGATACTTTTCTTTTGGATGGCTCATGTAAAACAATAAAGAAGAGTAATCTAAAGCTATTTAAAGCTGAAAACATATGGGATGAGGGCAGATGCTTGCATATCATAACATTTCATCACTATGATGACTTAATTTAATGTGGAATGCATATCTACTAGCAAATTTTTTATATACCTATTACTCAAGTTTTAGGGTTTTTAGAGCAAAGTATTGATGTGAAAGTCTCCATATTTTGTTGACTTTGCAGCTACACTATCACTTCATAAATGAATGCAATGCTTGTGGAATGTTATATTTGTTTCGTACTATTCTTTTATTACTTTGAATATTTATTCCTAGTAGTTTAGTTTTGGTACTTCTTAGCAGCATTAAGTTTTTTCAATTATTTCTCTTCATGGATTATAATTAGTGTTATCAATTCAGCAGTTTACTAAATCCATTTAAACATAAAGTATTGAGCGAAATGTAGACCTTTATGGCCAAAGAAAATCAATTTTTCAAAAT